GGCTGGTTTGTTGTGTGGGGCGTGGTGCGCGGTGCATGGTGTGTGGTGTGTGGAGCGATGCGGTGCGGTGTGGAGTGGTGTGGTGTGGTGTGTGGTGTGTGTATGTGTGTTGATGTGGTGCGTGTGCGTGTGCGTGTGCGATTAGGAGGGCGTGTGATGTGTGCGTTGTGCGTGGGCGTGGGCGTGGGCGGGTGGGCGTTGTGCGTGTGCGTGGTGCCGTTGTGCAGTTTGTGCGTTTCGTTGCTAGTATGATGTGCGTTGGTGCGTATTGGTTTGTTGTGCGTGTGTGCGTGTGTGCGTTTGTGTGCGTGTGTGCGTGTGTGCGTATTTGTGCGTCGTGTTGCGTTTGCGTTTTGGTGGTGCGTTTGTGTTGGTAGTGTGCGAGTCGATTGCGTGTGTGCGGATGTGTGTGTGGGAATGTGAGTGTGATAAGGATGGGCGTGTGTTGATGTGTGTGTTGTGTTTGTGTGTGGTGGTGTGTGTGTGTGTGTGTGTGTGTGTGTGTGTGTGTGTGTGTGTGTGTGTGTGCGTGCGTGGGTGCGTGTGTGCGTGTGTGTGTGTGTGCGTGGCGTGTGTGCGTGTGTGCGTGTGTGCGTGTGTGCGTGTGTGCGTGTGTGCGTGTGTGTGTGTGTGTGTGTGTGTTGATGTGGTATGGTGTGGCGGAGCGGTCCGTGCAAGTGTGTCGGTGTGCATGCGTGCGCGTGCGCGTGAGCACGTGAATGTGCTTGCGTGCTTGCGCGCCTGTGCTTTGGTTCGTGGGCGGGCGGGCGGGCGGGCGGGTGAGTGGTGAGTCTAGTGTTATGGTCTTTAGTGTCTGGTTTGTTGTGTGGGGCGTGGTGCGCGGTGCATGGTGTGTGGTGTGTGGAGCGATGCGGTGCGGTGTGGAGTGGTGTGGTGTGGTGTGTGGTGTGTGTGTATGTGTGTTGATGTGGTGCGTGTGCGTGTGCGTGTGCGTGTGCGTGTGCGTGTGCGTGTGCGTGTGCGTGTGCGTGTGCGTGTGCGTGTGCGTGTGCGTGTGCGTGTGCGTGGGCGTGGGCGTGGGCGTGGGCGTGGGCGTGGGCATGGGCATGGGCGTGTGCGTGTGCGTGTGCGTGTGCGTGTGCGTGTGCGTGTGCGTGTGCGTGTGCGTGTGGGTGTGGGTGTGTGTGTGTGTGTGTGCTTGTGTACATGTGTGTGTGTGTGTGGTGTTGGGTGTGGTGTGGTGTGGTGTGGTGTGGTTTGGTGTGGTGTGGCGTGTGGTGTGGCGTGTGGTGTGGCGTGTGGTGTGGCGTGTGGTGTGGTGTGGTGGGTGTGTGTGTGTGTTTTTGGACGTGTATGTGTATGTCTATACTGCAAAAGGCAGTCATTGGAATCCCCCGCCCCATCAAGCAAGTGCCATGCTCTGGCGGCACGAGCATGTTCATTTGTTTGCCACTCTGCTGCAAACCCACTACCAACCAAGTTGTGGACGCTTGAAGCTGCCTCTCCACGTCTCCTTCAATGATGTATTGGGGAGCTGGAAATCAAGAGTGCGCGCTCAGCTCAGCTGATGTTGGAGCCAGTCAAACAAAAGTAACGTTCATTATTGAATAGGTTGAAACTCCTCCTTGCGACAAACAGTCAACAGTGGGTCTTGTCCAAACATGCGGGGTTCCCCGCCAATCACATGACAGTGCCTCTGTTCACAGTATCTCCAGCATTTTTGTTCATACTGTTGAGGGAAAGCACATTCGACACTTGGGCAAGTGGACACAATGCCCACGGAATGCTACAAGCAACACACCTCATCCGGCTTGGCTGGATGGTGTTCTCCCGTTTTGCCAAACGATAGATGCAAACAGAATAGCTTTACATTTGAACAAACAACTAGAATACAAAACATGTGAAGGCTTGACACGGAAGACATCCATCTGCACCAACAGCCATAACACGAGTTCAATAAACTCGGTCTGATGTGTTCTCCTGGCTGCATCTCCAAGGGAATGCCAGACTTTGGCACTGTCCTGGGAGCATTGCTCAGAGCATGATTCACGAGACACCGGATTAAAAAGCGCATCCCTGTTCGGGTGTTTATAAAAACCATCAGGTGTGTATACGTATAGAACATGTTCGACAAACTAGGTGTCAGCTCATCAAAAGGTCGATAGTACCTCATCATTCCAAAGACATACACAAATACACATTGGCAAGGTCTTTGGATGAAGCAGATGTGCTTCGAACAAAAAAAGAAGCTCTACCTAAGATCCCTCCACCTGGCCATGAGCGTAGCTGGGCTGCAGGCAGAACCGCCCGCTTCATCTTTGACTTGATGTGTATGTACCTATCACACCGTTCTCTCTCCCATAGCCTGTATACATGTAATATCCAATAATATATTATGCCTCCAATGATACCTCCCATCAAGCTGCATGCACTTCTGCAAGAAGCGGACGCCATAGTATACAAAGGTAAGGTTGGCAACAATATGACGCGGTATGGGATCCGAATGGTGTGCTATTTTCATTGTCTTTGATTCACATAACCTGCCCTGCGAGAATATCCCACCAGAATGGATGTGCCATGTATGACTGCACCACTCCTCAGCTCAAAATCCAGTTTCTGGGCCTTCATCTGTGTGGCAATAATTGGTCAAGAAGGTGCTCCAAGGCAAAGACGCGTGAGCCGCAGGTGTTGGCCACAAGCGGTGGCTACAGTCGTCACCAGAGTTCCACCCCGGGCGGGCCTACCTCTCCAGCTTGTTTCCGAACCCGACATCCTCGGGTGCAGTATCCTGCACGTAGTCCTGATCGTGGAGCAATGTAGAGCCAGCAAAGTTCATTGGCTGACGCACCTGGAATACTGACACTGGGACACAGGAACACTGCAAGACTGGAAACCACGGAACACTGCAACACTGGATCTCTGGAACACTTGCGCACTGCGCAGCTCGAATTGTCATGGCTCACATTTATTGGCGACTTCCGTCCAAGCTCGAGAAATGGGCGGTCCATATCCAGGGATGGCAGGCCGAAGATGTGTCCTGCTAAGCCTAGGTGCATAGTCTGCTCTGCTTGCGAGTCTCTTGAACCAAAGACGCCGTCACTCCACCCATCACATCCTCGCAAGAACTCAGGTGGCCGCCGTGAGTAGCTTTTGAGGCTGGTGATCTGGACAGGGCAAGTAAAAGACCCACCAGCTGCCATTTTGCCTTCTGGGAAAAGAGGGGTTCACCACCACACAGGCCCTGAACTTTCTATTTCAATCTTCCCGAAAAGGTGGACCATGATTCGCACTATAGTGCCCTTAAATGCCCTTGCAGTCACAGCTGGACTGAAACGCTCAATGGGGAGATCGCCTCTGCCAACAGGAAAACTAGGAAAGCTGCGTTGGTGAAACAAATTGCTCTGCAGTTGAGACCGACCGGGTTGCCGTGCCCGGTACGCAAGCGAGGCGTAGCCTAACAGCGCTTCGTTGACAGTCTCTATTGCATTGCCAACTGAAGGCTTCACCTTCAACAGAAGCATCGACACACAAAACCTCGTTTTTACCGTGCTAAGCGAAAGCCCTGCAAAACTCGCTCGTCAAACTATGCTTGTTTGGAACGAGCATGGAGTTCGAACACCCGCACACACACACACACAATTGTTGGCCACAAACGCTTACAAGCAATGCACAACAACAAACAAAATCACAAGCAATATGTTGCAAACGCAAACCCAAACACATGCGCAAACACAAACACAAACAAACACACAACACTAAAGCGACAACACACACGTGACACACAGAAACGCAACCACATAAAGAAACACAAGCACCGCACACACACACACACACGAAAACGTCAATATACAATCGCAATTTCAAGCGCAAAACGTATTTCATTTTTTAACACAGCCGCAAACACCACCGCAAAACACCAGCACACTCACAAACACGCAAAAGGACACATGCAAACACAACGAAGCGCACACGCGAGCACAAACGCACAAGCAAGAAACCAACATACACAATCAGGAAACAGAAACGGCAAGGAAACACACAACACTAACGAACAAGGGCAAACACCAACAAACGTTCAGCCACAAAGAAACGCTAAACAGAATCACATGCGCATAAACATCTCAAAGCCTTGATACTCTGATCACGGCAGTCTTTTGTGCAGGAATTTCGCAAATTAATGCGGAAGGCCGCCGGATACTGGGCATCCCAGCCGCTGACGAGCTCCTGAAATGCTCGGGCTAGTGAAATTTTGTTGGCCAACCAGCCAAAACACTGCTGACTTCTTCTTCACGTCTGTGGGTAAGTTTTGATTTTAGATTATCTGGCAAAATAATGATGTAATCCCAACCGCCAGGCTATCCTAGAGCAATTCTGAGATTTTCACGGGGCAAAGCCATTTGTTCCACAAGCGGAAAGCACACTTGTCTCAGTGCCAAGCCAAGGCTATCTCAGCGTTTTCTCCCACCGAAAAATGGGATTCGGTTATTCTGGCCCAGTTAGCCGTGTCACATGATGTCAAATGAGGTTGCATCATGGGTGCCTCAAGCTTCCCAGAGCCACTTTCTGTAATCAGGTGGATCAACTGGTGAGCCAAGCTCAAAATATGCGGTCTCCATGAAGAACAAGGGGCAACTCGTCCTCCTTGTTTGGTGGGGCACGTACTTGCGGGCTCCCCATGCCCCTCCCAAATTGTCAGGGACGTCTGAATAGTTTGATCAAACCTCATATTTTATTGCTGTTGGTTGGGATTCAAGTACGCGGTTGTTGCGTGCCTGTAGTTGCCTGACGAATGATAAACCAAGCATGATTTGGCTCCGCTATCATAGGTAGAGACAGTTGCGCTGATTCGGCCAATCAATTCCAGGAGCTTTGATCATGAATCCGGTGCGAGGAGCAGATCACAAATGGAGCAAGCCAATGCTTGGCCGCATGTAGTGAGAAAACTACTCCGGGAGCCCTCTTAACTCATTGGCAGCATATGATGGATATGACTAGACTCCTTTGCGACCTTCGGGCAACTCTTCACGCAAAGGCTCTGCATGTGTTTGCCGCACGGATGCACACCGGAGGGAGCGCTGCATGAGCATGTAGCGCATTGCACCTCCTACAAGTAGGCTACAATTCCAGCGGATAGCATGCGCAGAGTTGACGGCTGGCTGGCCAGTCCGCTCACCGCGGAAAGTTTCACTCACCCTCTGCACCCGGTGCACTTTGCGCACTCGGTGCCTTTCCTCTCAACACTCCCATCTGCACTCGTGGCAGCTCACAGGGCTTTCTCTCCCTGTCCACAGCAGCAATTCATGAAGCATGGCGAACCACAGCCGCCGATTTCCATGTTTACTTCTAGCCCACCAGCTGAGTCAGGTGTCCAAACTCGCTGAATCGAACATTCCGAATTCGTCCAGGCTCACCACACCGACTTCATGGGGGCGGTGGGCATCGGCGACTGCAGCGCCAGGATCTCGTCCAGGCGCATGACGCGGCGGGTCGTCTTGGCCCAGACCTCGTCGGGCCGCTGCAGCTGCAGATCGATGCCCTGGCCCCAGCACAGCGTGCTCGCGTTGGCCACCAGGGCGCAGGAGTGCTGGTACCCGCAAGCCACGGAGACCGCATCCTGCATGCCCAAAGAAACGCCGAAAAGCAATGAACAGCAACATGAAAAACATAACCATGTCAGAGTTTCAGGCTGCATCTGGAGCGGTCGCAACTTTTGAGGCTGTCAATTCATCTTGTGGATCATGACTCAGTGCAAAGCCTGTCCTCGATCCCTTCGACAAGGACGGGCACCGGGCTGTTGTCTCGCTCGCTGCTATTCCCTAATTGTCCGCGCTCGCCCCATCCCCAGCACTTGACGAAACCAGTGTGTTCCACAGCGCAGCTATGTAAGCCGCCAGCACACACAGCCTCGGCTGGCACAGTGAACCTGTTTGCTTTGGCACGCTAAGTATCTCGCCTCACAATTAAAACGTGAGCCACTTCAGAACGTATGAAGTCTATCTTCAGTTTACCATGCTTTTGTGGGATGAGACACGGCAAGTGGCATTTTTTGTTGAGGGTGCCGTTTTGGGGTTGCTTGGAAGGGAAAACAAAGGAAACACACCAACTGAGTCACAATCGACACCTGGTATCAAAATGGTCTACCCAGAACCACAAAGAAATTCAACATAATGTGATTCAACATACAGCTGCACCAATTTATGGCTGGGGTTATCCCTTACAAACCTTCCAACACCCGGGGCTTGATTGTGGCCCAATCGTTGAAGTCCGCCAGGTTAAGAGAAGCTGGCATAGACGTTCACATCTCACATCAGATCAAACGGCAAAGCAACAAACTAAAGCTTCATCCTGTTGCACCTGGCATGCAACCATCTTATATCCCCATGTGCCAGGCACAACGCCGTCCAGCCCTGAAACCAAGCAAAGATACAAACAAGCAAACTCAACAACCAAACAAAGAAACACACTCACAAACAAACAGGCAAACAAACAAGCAAACTCAACAACCAACCGCACAAACAAACAAACAATCAAGCAACCAAAAGTAAAAGAACAAACAAAGACATAAATAAAGAAGGAACGACGGAAATAAAGCAAATAGAGACAGACACACAGAAAGACAGAAAGAGCGACAGAAAGCAAGACGAAAAGAAAGAAATAACTACAGAAGAAAGACAGAACGAAAGACAGACATGAAGAAAAACAGAAAGAAAGAACAAAATAAAGAAAGGAAGGAAGGAAGAAAGGAAGAAAATAAAGGAACAAACACAACAACAAACAAACAAACAAACACACAAACAAACAAACAAACAAACAAACAAACAAACAAACAACCACGCCGACCAACAAAACAAACAGTGGACAAACAGCACCAATCAAACAAAACACACACACAAGCAAGCAAGCAAAAAAAGACACAAATTAAACAAACAATCTCACACAGACAAACAAATACAATTCGCATAACTTAAACAAACACACAAACAACTCAAAACACAAATAAGAAAACAAATAAATCAAGACAGCCCAACAAACTAACAAACAAACAAAACCTGCAGCGCGTGCGGCTCGCCCAGAGCCACTCTGCTCCATTTTCCGGTTAGGTTTAGGGCTTTAAGGTTTCGGGGTTTGGGGTTCAGGTGAAAAAATTAAGTTGCCCTCAAGGGTTTAACACTCCCCTCATTCTAGGGCTCACGGGCGAGGTTCAGGCTTAGGGGATAACTTGCCCTAAGTTTAGGGTCTAAACTGCGCTCAAACCCTCAGTCGGGCTTTACGGTTTAGATTTAGGACTTAGGTTCAGGGTTAACTTGCTCCACCCTGAGTTTACGGTTTAGTTGCCCCCACCCCTTGTTTCTCGCCAAATCACAGAAATGCTCTTGGTTGAGACTGGCAACAGACTAGCCAGCTACAAAAGCAAGTAGTGACCCCTGCGAAAGTCGCAGCCTGCGCAGCGCGCCTGAGGTCTTGCAATGTCTTGAACATAGGCAGCTTGTTATGAGGCGCAAGTGCTAAAACGCTGGCAGGCGCGAGGAATTCTGGGCGTGCGCGTCCCCCAAGAAAAGTGCCTCCGGGCAAACCACAAGTGCTGCCGAAACGAAACAAACAAAGCGAGCGAGCGAGCGAGCAAGGAAGCAAGCGATGGCGCAAGCAAGCAAACAACCAAAGAAGCAAGCACGCAAGTGAAGACACAAACGCACACGCACACACACACACACAAACACACATACACACACACAAACAACCGGGCCACCAAGCAAGCAAGCGAACCAGGAACCAAGCAAACAAGCAACGAAACAAACAACAAAACAAACACAAAAACAACAAACAAACAATCAAACAAACACCAGCCCAAACAAACAAGCAAGCAAGCAAACAATGGAACAAACAAAGAAGCAAACCACACCAAACAAACAATCAGGCGAGCAAACAGGCAAACACACAGCAAAGAGACCGACAGACAAACAGACAGACAGACAGACGGACAGACAGACAGAAACACGGACAGACAGGCAGGCAGGTAGACAAACAAACAAACAAACAATAAACAAACAAACAAACAAACAAACAAACAAACAAACAAACGCAAAACAAGCAAACAAACTAGCTAGCAAACTAGCCAGCACAAAAGCAAACAAACAGGCAAGCAATCAAGCAAACACACCAATCAAGCAAGCAAACAATCAACAACTCAAAAGAATCAAAATCTAAACAACCATATACATGTATATAAACAAGCAAGCAAGCAAGCAAGCAAGCAAGCAAGCCAGCCAGCCAGCCAGCCAGCCAGCAAGCAAACAAGCAAGCAACCACAACCAACCAACCAACCAACCAACCAACCAAACAAACGAAACAGCTACCAAAGACGCAACCAAGCCAAACCAAACAAAACAAACAGAAAGACAACAAACAGACACAACTAACCAAAGATCCGGGTCAACCGACGAAACAACCAAACCAAACACAAATAAAAACAAAGCTGGGTCTCGTCTCCAGGGTGCAAATCGCACGCCTGAACCTGAGGATTTCCCCATTGCTTGGGTTGAGGGCGTGTGTCCAATGGGGAGATCACCTAGCGTCCAAGCACAACCCTCCCCATCAAATCCTAAGCTACCCCTGTCACTTGAACCCCCTCTGTGGCCTTTTCGCAAAGATTCCAAGTAGCCGAGGACTCTTCAGTGTTTCCATCTGTGTTTCACCCACTTGCGTCCTAATTATTAGGGAATCCACGTTTGTATCACGCTAAAAAGCTGCCATTTTTTAACAACGGGCTCTGCCATGCTCTACCCAAGCGTATATTTCTGGTTGGGACTGTCCCTGCAACCTTCGCTTGAGCCTTTCATGGCTCAACCTTTGTCTGGCGGCGATGGCCGACTCCAGGCCCGCCGCCCGAACGGGATAGAGGCTGTCCAGAGTGTGCCCGTCCCCGAGTTGCCCGAACTCGCCCCAGCCCCAGCACCGCACCGCGCCGGACACCTGGATTTAAAAAAGCCGGGATCATGTCCTCGCATTTTAGCAAACTCACGCAAAAGAGGAAGACATTTGGAGCACAATCCTTCAAAGCGAAGTGCTCCTGTCAGTTTGGCTGACAACCAAGTGGATCTGCTTTTTGTTTCACTGGATCCTGGTTTCCGAAAATCAGGACCTCAAGGCTATCGATCATGACAAAGTGCTCCCTGTCCAAAAGAAACGCTACGGATATGTTTATATACCTGCAGTTCGCCTATCCCCTCCCAGTGCTGGGGGGAAAAACGCTTAGCCCCATTGGAATGAGCCCATCGTCGGTGTATATTTTGATTGGAGCCAACGTTGGACACCAGGATGAAGCGCAGTCGTTGCGGTTTTGTGTTTTTGCACAGAGGCAACTCGTTGCTCCGATCAGGCAACACATCGGGCTTGGGATGGCTTCCAGCTGTGCCTGTGCTTTTTTGGGAAGTCTTCCCAAAATCGGGTTGGACAAAAATGCTGGCACAAAAGGTTGGAACAAAAGCTTGGTATACAAAGGTGGGAACAAAAGCTTGGTATTGAAAAAGGTTGGAACAAAAGCTCGGTTCTTTTTTCAGGTTGCTCGGAATGGGGTCATTGTTTCGGGTCCCAAGCTTTTGACACATGGCCATGGGTCAAAATCCAAATCGTACCCCCAGTGAACATCCCCATCCCCACGAAAATAAGTAAAGCCTAAAATGGGTGGTGAATTCACCAATCCCAACCAAAATGGGATCCCAAAACGGTTTTGACCACCACAGCCACATCGGACAGGACTTTCGACCCCCGCCTCCAAGGCGCAGGTGTGGGACCCCCCGGCGCGGATGTCCGCAGTGGGGCCCAGGCGCGCCACAGGCCGGGCCTCGTGGCGCCGGCTGCGGCCGCCAAAGCCCAGCTGGCCGTCCTAACTACGAGAGGTCGATTGGGACTAGACCACCCGGAACACTTTTACTTTTTTTTTTGTGTCACATGGATTGTTTTTTCTATTATTATTATTCACCTGGATCGTGTCTCTTTTGGTTTTATATAAAAATTCAAGAGTTGTTGAATAACTATGGTGTCCACTGCACCCAAGCCTCTATCCCCGGAATTGAGTGGAATATGCAGCCACTATACAGCCGCCATAGAAAGTAGCCCCAATTTACCCGTTTGAAAGTAGTTGATCCCATCCTTGATTAAGATTCACCCTCTTGATTGTGCCCTCGGGTCTATCACTGGCAGTTTGAGTACACAGAAACAAGAACACAATCCTGGACTTCAGCAACCAGACTATGACTTCTCAAACTGCAGCCAAACGGGAACATCGCTCACGCCGGTTTGAAAGATATTCACAAGCCTCCAGGGACTGTCAGTCTGGCTTATAATGGCCAAAGGAAACCCTCCCGCTCTCTGCACTTGTGCCAAACTCAACCAACGGGATGGCTGCCTGACAAAATAGTCCAGAACATCCCAAACAAGTACATAATGCTATTTGGTGGATTCATTTGCCCGCGTTCCATCTCGCAACCAAAACGAATGACCACCAAACATTGCAAAGCAAAACCAATCAGTCAGGGCGATTTATCCTTAGTTCCCCGAAAATCAGACCTCTCTGAATTGCTCAAAAAGGCCTCCAGCGCTAGCCGAAAAAACAACTCATTTGCACTTGCTTGATTTCAACCAAAAACTCAACCCAATGGCAGTTGGACGCCATCCGTCCTCGCCCTTGCCCCAGCACTTGGCAACGCCGCCCAGCTCCACGGCGCAGGAGTGCAGGCCGCCGGCCGTCACTACCACTGCCGCCTCCAGGCCTCCCATCCGGCGAAACGCGGCCTCCCCCTTTTGTTTTCCGGCACGAGCCAACGAAGAAAAAAAGAGAAACAAACAAAAAACATCCATGCATGCATGGGACCTGCAACCACTAGACACTATATAAAGGATATGTATACACCATGTTGCAATGATATGTACGCCTTCCATCCATGGTTTCCTCTTCCCCCAACCGAAGTTATCCCCAGAGTACATTGGGGTATATACCGTACCCTTTTATATGGTGGCTATGTAGCGGTTGCATATCCCAGTAAAACACTGAGGGTAGTGGTTTGGGGATAAACAGCTGTTTTATACTTATAGTATGGAATACCTTAATCTCATGTCGTGATTGCCCATGGAGGCCGGGTGGCCGTTTTGCTGATTGCCCTTTATTCAGCCATTGCTGTGAAAGCGGATTGTTTCGGCATGGACTAGATGAGACAACATTCAATTGAACAATTGACTGTCAATGATATTGGCCATTCTGTGGTCGTGTACATTGGTTCCAAGGAAACAAAGGAACAAAAACAGCACAACTCTCACGAGCATGGCATGGCCTGAGTTTGCGCAGTGCCTCTCAGGTTGAACAACGGTGAGCAGGTCGAAGGGTCGAACATCTTCAAGCAAGCAACAGCCAATGAACCGCAAAGATGCTGGTAAAATTGGTCGAATGCTTCAAGGTCCACAGCCTTTCCTTTCTCAACTGACCCGCGAGCGTGAGTCTCAACTTTGGCCGTCCTTGAACACGAACTGGTGTCATGGAGGAGGTGGCCAAGTTGTCGCCCAGCTGCCCGAAGTCGCCGTTGCCCCAGCACAGCACATGGCCTGTGGCCTGCTCCAAAGCACAGAGGTGCTGCCCGCCCGTGCTGATGCTACACGCGCCAGGAAACTCCTGAACCAGTGATCAAGGCCACGGGAAAGTGATCGCTGCCAGAGTAACGACTTTTTCTTTTTTTCTGCGGGGATGGGTCGAATGGTCATGGGCTCCTGAAGAAGCAATGCTAAGTGTATGAAATGCCAGTCAAGACAATGCTGGAGGAACCATTGCCACTTCCACATTGGCTCAAGCACATCAATCCTGGGCGAATCACATCTTCTGAATGATCGACCCTTCCTGAAAAGAAGGAGGCAAGCATTAAAACGCCGAATATCAATGCAGTTGATGGCTCTCTGCCTCTAGGATGGCAGGCACCAAATCTTCAATGGGCTTTTTCCTGTACCCTCACAGTGCTTCTCAACCAGCCCTCGAACCGTTGACGCTTTGATCAAAAAGCGTTCTTGAAGCTCCAAGGGCCCCTTAGAACCTGCCGTTCTCAAGGGGTTTCAAGGGTTCCGCGTTCTGAGCCTCGAAAGGAGGGAGGCCTCGCTTACAAAGTGTGCGATAGGGAACAGGGTTAGGATGTTGTGGGTGTCACAGACACAGCTGGACCGGTGTTGGGCTTTGTAAACAGCTGATGCATTCGACAAATCGCATCCACTCTCCTCTGTGCCGTTGAAGTCTGCAAAAACCAGCGGCAAGGCCAAGCAAAGGCTGAGCATCGGCAGCGAAAAGCAAACCATGGCAGCTCAAGCTTAGTGCCCTTTTTCAAGCGCGGAGCATACGAAGCAATCTGCTGCAGGATTTCATGTGAGTCTGCCAGTTATTTGCGTGGCTGCTTCGTCATTTGATATTGGTCATGTGCCTAGTTGACTGCCTTTTGATCCATTGTGATCCAACAGCTACGTCTGGCGCTACCTTTACTGTGCATTCATATGACAAGCACCTGGCAACCTTTCGTGGACTTGCTTTGCTTTTCATTTGGTAATCACAGTCAGCGCTGACCTTGGCGCAACGCAAAGCACTTGCCAACGCCGGAAAGGGGGGGCACATGTTATTGTATCCTGACATGAAACACAGACCAGTTGCACGTTCTCAATCACTTGACATGGACGCTTGGCCAAAGACCTGCTTTCATGCATCCAGTGGACACAAGAAGATAGCATCACTAGCTAAAAGCTTGCTATGCGTTTGACAGCTTAATTGGTGTAAAAATAAATCACTGGCTCCATGAATGAACCCAACGAACCACAATCAAGCTGGAGTCAAGGTTCCGCCCTTCCGCGTCTCCGCGCAGTGGGAAGCTCATGCCAGGTTTGACTGGGAAATCGGAATGCCAAGCCGCATATGGCTTACGTAAATAAATGCATGTACGTGGTGTATGTATATATCTATATATGACAACCACCCCTTGGGCAGGCGTTGGCTGGTCCCGGACCCTGGGTGTGTTGAAAAAGCCATGTTTCAAATGGGCAAAATGTATCCTTTAAGGAGCCCTGAATATATATATATATATGTATAGAAAGATATACATCTACATAATACATTATACACAATGTAGGAGCAAGAACTGTTCGTGCGGGGCTCAGATTTGTTTACGCATGGCAAGGCGCTCCAATTCAGGCGGCGTCCTGGCCGAGAGCCTCTCGGAGTCGATGGCCTCCATGCAGAAGCGGCCCTGTGCGCTTGGATGGGACCAGCTTTCGTCCATCGAGGTGCCCTTCGCCTCCTTCGCCCTCGTAAGTCACAAGGCCTCAACTTCTGGTATCTGGCGCCTCATCGGCAACTTCTTACGATATGTCCAAGACCTGGAACGAGGGATCCCCAAGCAAACGATCATTGAACGCTTTACCAGCTGTGAAATAAGCAGACCTCGTTCCAAAGCGGACTTCAGCAGCGCCAGTGCTCTTCCCCGCGCCAGCCTCCACCCGCTCCTTGACCACATGCGCAGTTTCAGCACACCTGCAGGTCAAAAAACAAACGCGTCGGGCTGTGGCAAAGCTTGAACACATGATCCGAAACAAACTCATAGCGTCGAAGAGGTCTCGACAAAAAAAAGAAGGAATATCAGTGACTGGTGCATGTACATCGTAAGATCAGCGCCATGAGGCTTCGGCTGATCGGGGCGGAAAAGAGGATGTCGGGAGCACCCAACACTTGATCAAACCTACTGGGATGTCGCCTATGATTTCTGAAGGGCAAGCAAATCGTTGAATATGACCTGTTTCAGGCGGTTTGCAGCAACCGGAGTCCACATCAACCGCAACCACACGTGCCCGCCCAAGGCGCAGCCGCTTTCCCCCGGCGATAGGGCAAGGCGCTTCTCCGGCGTGGGGCAGAGCGCGGCCGTGGCCTTGAGCTTTGCCAGCAGCTTGGTGGCCTCGAACTGCCGTGGGACATGTCCGGATCCCAATTTGCATGGGAAATGTCTGGTGGTGCTTCTTGATCCATCACAAAACCTCACACACGAATTCATACAAATGCAAGGTACGCTGACACTGACACTGACACATATTCATACATCCACGCATACAAAGAAACATACACGCATGATTGCAGCACTAAATCATTGTCTGGCCAAGATATATCGACATGAGTAGCACAGTTCCATCGCGCTGTAAGCTTGACAGGAGTAATTCTTGGCAAAGGCTTGCAAGGCAAACATGTCCAATGTGTGTAGGATTGCGCATCGCATGCTGCATCCTTAGCTCTCGGCCAGCGTTTCCCCATCTTCGAAGACCAGGCCGAACTGGCGACGTTCATGACTCACTAAGCAATGGCAGGCACCTTTGAATGTTCCCTTTGGCCCTGAGAAACCAAACCTCAGCACCTTACGTGGCTTTGCTCAATGTGTCAAGCAACATGCAAGCTTCATGAGTGGTCAAACTCAAGATGCCTCAGTGTTCTCTATGGGATGGTTGCAAGCTAGTTGCGGATAGGCCGGCAGATTGGCCCGGAGCGAGCGCAATGGTTGCTGAGCTCTAAGTGCTTCACCCAGCTTGGATTTCATACGCTTTGCAGTGTTTAGCTGCAGCCCCAGCTGCCAATACTGTAAAATAGGCTGCCCAGTTTTTAGACATCAAGCATGACTATGCCTATGCGTGGCGTTCCGCGTGGCTTTCTTCTGCTAAAGCTTGATCCCCTGCGTCTGCCAGCGAAAAATGGCCCTGCGCTTTGCGCTCTAATGGGGAAAGGACTGGGTCGCGCGCGCGCAAGCTTCAATCAGAACGTCGCGCTGTTTTTGCAGTCTTTTTTTTTAGGGCAAGAAGTCGCCAATGGCGCTTCGCCATGTGAATAGCTCGAAGATTCCATCAAACTCTTCACCCTCGTCTTGCGCAGCCCACCTGCGCTCGGCGCACTGTCTTTCTGGTTCGTCGGGGTGTGCTATGCGCCTGAGTCAAGCTCAGGAGGGGAACAAGCAAAGCCAACGACTCCGCATGTGTCTGTGTGCAAAAAGAACCGCCGCTTTCGTAGGGAAAGCCTGATTGTTGCTCTCTTGAGAGTACTGTTGCAACCCTTCCAACTGCTAGCCTCTGTCATGCGCCAGCTCAAGATGACAGGTCCTTTTTCGCATTCAATACAATTAAAGCAAACGCTACCATATCCGCACGCTCAAAGATAAGGCCACTACTCCCCGTGAGGACATCGGTAGACACGTCCCATGGCGCGAGCCTCATTCTGTGCCGTTGTCTGGTCAACATGAAAAGTGGAACGACGACATATCTGAAAGCTAAGCAGCAACATGCGGCTTGGCTCCAGGTGCTTCGATTAGGGCAATGGGCATGTCTGCTGCACAGCTCAAACTGAAATGTGCAGGTTGCTCTTTCATCATTCACGCCTGAGCTGCCCGCGCAAGCTGCTATTTAGGACGCAGGCATCATATCAAGCCTTTGTCTATTGACATCCGGATCGCTTGCATTCAGAACTATTCAGAACCAAGTGGTTTCATGCCAACACCCCAGTGCTGCCCACGTGGAAGCTGCTCAACAAGTGATTCCCGAAGCTTTTCATCTGGCAACCTCATGCCCATCCATGCGGCAACCTCTTGCTCATCCATCCATGCCGTCTTCGCTAAACACTGAGCCAAACATCACGGCCAGTTCCCAGAAAGGCAATAAGCAATACGCTCGCCGACGGACATGTAAAGGCCGGCACTGAAGCAGTGTCAACTTGGCAAGCCGCTCTCAGTGGGCCACAGCCAAAGTCAGGCGCTTGCCGCAGTCACTTGAGACTTAGCCGCCTCCGAATCCTTCCTGGACCGAGGTGTGGATGACGCTGTGCTGCCTGAGCAATGCGGCCCAAAGCAAAGCAGCGCTCTAAACAGTGACAGTTTTCCAACCCATCAGTACAAGCCTCTATGTGTTCATGATATCTGTTGACAAAAATGCAGCGTTTGCAAACATTTGGCGCTCTCAGGAAGGCTGGCTGCTTTCGTCACTCAAGGGTTATTGCTGGTGATGAGTGAACTCCGCAAAAACTCTAAGTCCGACTCTGTTAGGCAATCACAAGGCACCGATTCTTTTGACTTCTCGCCACATTGGACCTGCATTTGCTTAATTGGCAGGCTGATTTGAACTGACGCCACCAAACACCTTGGCATACTGACAATCTTTGACAACCAAGCAGGAAATGGGAGGACTCGTGCCTGTCACCGCGCGCTTGCGCGGACCATCATCCCACGCAAAGCGCCTGCAGAGAGCGGCAAGTGATGTTCTGGCATGACCATCCACCAAGCCACAGATTACTCAAACATTGCAAGGAATGTGACAATACAGTCCAAACCAATCAATCAATCCAATCGAAATGAATCAAGTCGAATCAAATCAGACCAAAACTACTAAACCAACGAAAATCACTTCAAACCGAATCACACGATTCAAGTCAGACCAAATCACATCACATCAAGCGATCGATTAATCAAAAAAACAATCAATTCCAATCAAACCAAACCAATCAATCAATGAACAACGAATCAACGCATGAATCAATGCATGACTGAATGAATAAATGACTGACTGACTGACTGACTGACTGACTGACTGACTGACTGACTGACTGACTGACTGACGACTGACTGAATGAATGAATGAATCAATGAATGAATGAATCAACCAATCAATGAATCAATCAATCAAGTCAAGTCAAGTTAAATAATCAATCACACACACTCACTCACTCACTCACTCACTCACTCAATCAATCAATCAATCAACCAATCAAATCAATCAATCAATCAAAACCATCAACCAATCAATGAAGTAGTGAATGAATGAATCCAATCCAATCCAATCCAATCCAACCCAATCCAATCAATGAATGAATGATTCAATCAATCAAGTCAGTCAGCTAATCATTCAATCATTCATTCAATCAATCAATCAATCAATCAATCAATCAATCGAGTCAGTCAAGTCAGTCAGTCGGTCAGTCAGCCAGGCAGTCAGTCAGTCAGTCAGTCAATCAAAGCTAAACTAAAGATAAACTAGAACAACATAAATACATCAAACCATATCAAATCCAGTCAAAGCAGATCAAATCAAAACAAATCAAGCAACCAATCAATCAAATCTGCAAACCTCCAGGGCGACTTTTCTCCTTCAAAGCATAAAAGGGTCTGCGGGAATCGGTTCATCCGCATGGTCAACATGTGAAGTGCACGTCTCACGCACCCCCCCTTGGCACTTTGTGCCAACAGCCAAAATGTATGGCGTCGAGCATCTTATCGCTCTCAGCCACCTTGCGCTCCTTGGCGCCAGCTCAAGACCCCACCTCC